TACAAAACAGTTTGCTTGATAGTGTCTTTCAGAAGCGAGCCCGATGACCCCTCTTAAACTATTCATGGAGGATTGATAGAAGTATCTGCTGCTCAGTCACTCAGGTGTCAGAGTTTTTATTAACTTTAAGAAAGTTAAACATCTTAATCAAGGTTAGGTGCAGATTAACAATGATGGATTTCTCTATGTTTTTATACTTACACTGAATCATCAGATTCAACCAGCTTGAAGGATCTTTGTGCTTCTTTCAATGAATTTTTTTAATTCCTGCAGACTTGCAACATCAGCTGCTTTTTGTACCAGGTTGCAAACACATTTACTTCTGCTGTGAGACATTTTAAAGATGGGATCAAACGGGAATTCCTTGGCTTTTGCAGAAACTAGAGTAACTGCAGTTTGTTGGTTTTTTTGCTTGATCTGCTCGAGGGGGAACAAACAGCTCAGTTAATTCCATCCCCTTCTCTGGGGTCTGGATACACTCAGCTGTGACTTGTAGCTGCTTGAGGACGACCAGTGCCCGGTTTAATGTCCAGTTAGATGTTCAGGCTCTGCCCGGGTCGATACCAGAATTTCTTTAAGAGCAACTGCATCCTACTGAATGTGTTACGGTTAGTACAAATTCTGGACCCAAAGCACGACTCAGATAGGCAGGATCAAGTTGATAACAAAAAGGTTTATTTTAAAATTGACTCAAAAGGTACAAGGGGGAGGGGTAGTGCGAGGTTCCCAGTGGCAGTGTCCTTGATCCCAGAGTGGTGTCCAAAAAGCACAGGTGAGGTGAAGCAAAAAAAAACGAACAGCGATCTGTCGCAAGGCAGAGAAGAAAAACGGGGTTAGCTACACAAGCTATCACAATGAGCACTAGAATCCAGAGAAGCCAAGAGAGTACAATACTACGCCAGCAGGTGAAACAATCCGGCGTCGAGGTGAAGCAGAGGGAAGTCTTTGTAGTCGTGATCCTGATGACCAACTAGCTGCACCTGGCGCCGCCTGAGAACATGAGCCCCGCCCACCAAACTCACACAGACAGGAGAGAGACACATGAGGATTAGACAGACAGGGAATGACAAACAACACAACAAAAGGGGAAGGAAGGGCTGCCATGGTATGAATCATGACAGAATGTGCAAGATGACAAGAACACAAGCTTGTTTATTTTTGATGGGAAAGACATTTGCACCAATCTCCTGCCTCCAAATGACCGACAACAATACAAAACACCACAAAGCAAGAACTTGTACAAAGATACCATTCAAATTCAGAGGTACACATTAAGAAAGCACTTCAATTCCTGAATGACAAAGAAAAACCTCTGAAAACTGAAAAGATCATGTGGCTGCAGGAGCTGGGGGTCAAACCCCCAACCATCTCACTGACAGACAACCAATTCTACCACTGATCCACAGCCGGAAAGATGACGTTCACCAAAGGGCCCAGGTCAGATTTGGACTGGATTTGAATAAGACTATAGCCTCTGTGAATGGGGCACATGCATCATTACCGCCAGGCTACCCGGCGCCCCCGATAGGAGAGGCCTTTTCTTTCTGAAGAAAATGAACAATATTGTGAAGAGGCATATTCAGACAGACATTGCTGACGTGAAATGAAGTTTGATTTTAATGGCAAACAATGTCTGCCATGAATCAGGATGCAATTCAAGCAGCATCAGCATCACCAACATTTTGTTTTGTTTTTTTAGCTGTGCAGTCTGGCAGAAATAAATGATTCCCAAATACCCAGTCAGCCAAAACACTGTTAAAAGAAATCATCGTCCATATCAACATCCGGATGCGTAATTTAGGATGTAATCTTTGATGTTCTTAATAAAGTTTTGTTGCTCAGTTTGAAGCACAAGCAAAGGTGATTGTAAGAAATGCAGCTTGTCATCTACCATCCAGAGACACTAACAACATGGAGGACAACACAAGGGTCTTTAAAACATACCTTATGATGATACATTAAAGGAATTCTAAATTCTAAACATCATAGAGAGCTGTCTCCCCCCCCCCCTCCTCTCTAGAGTGGATGCTCACTCAGGTCACCATGTGGTGGACTCTGAAGCTTCAGTGTTTATCCAGCTCTGCATGGGTCTGTAAACCTTTCTGTGTTCTAACCTCTCTCCATTTTTCAAAAGCATCTCCAATATTGATCCTAGTTTGAGCACGTTTCTGCTCGTGGAGCTTATTAGAAACATGCAGAGGCTTTTTAGGTCGGGTACAATCACTTCTATCTGAACCACTTCTCTTGACCGCTTCCATCACTGCAACACTTGTTGACCTGATAACTGCTCTCATATCTGACAAACAGAGGGGCGTCCAAAACGGCCGTGTGGGGGGGTCTTAAAAGCGCCTACCTTCTCTGGTCCAAACAAATCCAGAGCATTCAGGAGCAGAATCTAAAGTTAGAAGGAGGACATACTGGCTGCTGCATTGTTGTCAGAGAAGCCAGCACTTCAACATAGCATGTTTCCTTAATGATCAGATAGTAAGATACCTTTATCATCTCACTCTCTACACATCTGTAGAATACAGATACATATTTCTGCAACTGTTATTTAAATTACATTGTTTTTGTCTTATATCTCGTCCCCACTAAACCCTGACAATAATGTATGACACCAAAGTAGGATTTCCTGTTGTAAGTAGCATAATGTTTGCTTCGTTTTCTGCGAGCATATGCATATTGGATTCACAGTAACGAGTGTTGTTTAAGATTTACGGGTAACACTTTATATTAAAGGTGCTTGTAATAACAATTAATAACAGGTAATAAGTCACTTATAAGACCTTATTAGAGTCTTATTAACACAAATAAGACTATATAAGTGTTAATATAGGCATAATTAACAAATTTATTATGTCTTAGAAGACACTTACACGCTCTTATTAGAAATGTACTGACACTATATACCGTCATAAACATTAATAAGTCTTCATGTGTTAATTAAACTATAAATTAATCTATAATTGGCTTGTAAGATATTAATTAACACAGAAACTTGTTTATAGGCCACTTATCAACATTCATAAGATGTTTATTGACATTAATAAGACTTTATTAGGTTCATATTAATGCCTTATAAAGGTTATTAAATACTTTATCATGCACTTATTAACAGCTCAGTGGGAACAGGGTCCAACGTTCAAGTAAACGCAGAAACAAAAAGGAGGTCTGTTGAACTTCCATTTAAACAGTGTGTTAAAAAAAAGTATTATCTTTAACGTTAACAACATTACGAAAACAGTTGGTGTGTCATAGCTACCAAGATATCTGATCAAATTCAGGGAAAAAGCATAGTTGTTTTTAACCCATGTTACTGTACATAAAGTGTTGAAGGTGGACAAACATCAGAAGACTAGGACTCCTGGAGCCCAAGGTCTGAACCCTAACACTAACCCAGTCAAGAGACACACACAGGAATACCTTTTCAAACTTTGTAAGGAACACAAATATTGCAGGTCAAGTTTACAATTTACTAATGCAATTAACAACTTAATAAAGTGTGCACATGAAATAAAACAAACATTTGAAGTGTCTAAACCCAGTGATTGGGGCTCAATCCAGGTATGTGTTTCTGTTTAATCTGTGCTTCTGCTGTAAGTAGCAAAGGAAGTTCTTCCTTCGAAGAAACAGTCTTAATCCCACTTGAGGTCTCGAAGGTTGGGCTCACTATCCAGTTAGCTGCTCACAGTTCTATGGTGGATGCTCTTGTTGGTGGATGGTCTTCTGGATGAGCCCAAAATCCACCTTTTACCAAAACCTGACCTACAGACAGGTCACACCACCCCTATAAAGATAAACATGCACGTCAGCATCAACACAGGCTTCATCTCAATTTAAGCACTTTGCATTTAAAACCAATTATTAAAATAACATCTGTTTTTATTCACAATTTTCCATTAGCTCTGTTGTACTACAAAAAATGTTAAAGATCTTCTTTATCAATTTACTGTTGAGATTTTTATTGATTAGACAACATAGTGGTGTCAAACTTTTGCTCTTACAGATCACAAAAAGCCTGAATAAATACTACATTTTTCACAACACAAAAGCTAACTGATTAGCAGTGGCATATGACATGTTACCTGTATCTTGTTAGCATCACAGCTAACGCTAATTTCACAGGACTAGGCATTCTTCAATACACCTGTTAACGTCGAGGCTAATGCTATCTTAACGGCTAGCAGATCCAGCCTTGATCAACAGCCAACATTGTGTTGTTTTTTCAATCTACCACTGAACACTTTGGATGTTTGTACCCCTCAGTCAGGACAGAAGAGTTGGATTTAAACTAACACGCATGTTCTCAGCACAGAGGATGGGCTAAGCAGGAATATATGGCTGGCAGGCAAACAACAGGTCTCAGATCAGCCAGCAAGGAATGCTGGGAGTCTCACCTGATTCGTTGGAAAGTTCACTCTTAATCAAACACATTGTTTATTTATTTGTAGTCTTTAAGCCTGGGTTACATTTAATACATGTAACTGTATCAGGTGAGACTCCCAGCCTTCTTAGCTGGCTGATCTGAGACCTGTTGTTAGTTAGTTTTACTTCAAGCCCACGAAAATGTTGTGTTAACTCTATTATACGTTTATGTCCCCTAAACTACATGAAAGGTTTCCAACGTCGAAAAGTGATTTGTATTAACTTAAAAATGCAGAGCTCTGTCGAACCCACCTTGCTCACAGGTGGTCCATGCATCTGTTGTTTGGCGCAACTGTTATTTGTGCTCATCTGCAACATGGGATAGAACATTATCACAAGGCTTGAGCACTTTAAAAAAAAAATATATATATAGGTGTGAAGAGGGAATATCTGACAGTAAATATAATTACAGCCAAAACCAGTTTAAAATGCAGTTGGAAAAACATCAGTGATAAATGTGTAAGATGGACAAGGCAGCAAGGATATCTTCCATTACAGTTTAATTCATGGATACACCAGCGAAAATTATTTTTTCAAGCGCCGTAATAAAACAATAACTCACCAAGTGTTTTCATGGCCCAGACTGAACATCACCGCTGTACTGCAGCCCTTGATGTGGTAATCATTGGTCGAGCAGAAGTCTCTCTTGATTTGAGACTGGAGCTGAGTGTATAGAGAGGTGGGATTAAAGTTCTGCTTATCAAAAAATAAAACATAACCCTAACAGAAGAGGGTCTCAACTAACCTCTTTCAAAGATCCTACATCCATTTTTTCTGTGGATGTGATGACAAAAAGAGAAATGCATGTTTCATTTGGTCAACAATAAGGCAAAGTTTGAAATGTGGAAAACCCCATCCTTTACATGAGTAGAAACACATTGTATATCCCTGTTGACAAAAACATAACACATATTGGCCCTCACTTATCAAACGTACGTACGGCAGAAACATGGGTGTACGTATTTTCCCTCGTATTACTGTGTGAGGAGATAGTGGTACGTCTTCTCGTCACCACTGGATGGTTTCTCTACCAAAGCCTAAAATAAAAAAGAACCCACGTCTTTATGTAGGTAATGAAATCCATTGGGATTATTACAACTGGTGACATCATCAAAGCCATAGGTGAAATCAGACAAACATTTCATGGCCAGACACAGGCCTTCACTTGTAGTGTGTCTTATAAACACTCTTACCCTGGTGAGAAGGATTCTCTTGTAGGGACTGTTAGGGACCAAGCAGTAAGGCACAAGACACAGGAGTAAGTTTAAAGAAAAGGTAGGTTTTTATTTTACCCAAAAATAGAAAACCAAGTTTACAAACCAAAAGGGCCTTGTGATCCGTCTCCAAGGTGAACTCTTGAGCAAGAAGGTAGTACCGGAAGGAATCTAGGGCCCACTTGATAGCCAGTGCCTCCTTCTCCACCGTCAAATATCGAACCTCTCTGGGGAAAGTTTCCAGCTGATGTAGGCGACTGGATGCTGATCATCCTGAAGTCCCTGGAGTAACACAGCTCCCAAAGCCCTGTCAGAAGCATCAGAAAATGTTCGTCCAAGTTTGGGCTGTACAGAAGAGGTTGCTGGATATCACTGAAAGCTGCCACTGCCATCTCTGTCCACTGGATCTGATTGGGACTCCGGGATCTAGTCAAGTCTGTGAGAAGCGCTGCCCTGTTGGAGAAATTGGGTATGAAGCGGTGATAGAAGCCTGATAGCCCAAAAAAGATCAGAGCTGCTTCCTTGTTTGTGGCAGGGGACAGGACTATGGCCTGGATTTTGTTGACCTGAGGGCGTACAACCCCATTGATGACGTGGCCTAGGTACTTCGATAGGATGACAGTCAGCCAGGCAGAATGAAGGCGATCCAAGACAGCTTGCAGGTGTTCCTCCCACGTGTTACTGTAAATGACAATGTCATCTAGATATGCTGCAGCAAAACCAGAGAAATAACAAATTACCTGGTCTGAGTCTCTGTAAAGTTGCTGGAGCGCTGTGAAACTCAAATGGTATTACTGTGAAATGGAAAGGGCCCCATGGTGTCCTGAAGGCTGTCAGCTCCTGTGACCGATTGGTGAGAGGAATCTGCCAATAACCCTTGCAGAGATCTATTGTCGTCAAGTATTATGCCTTTCAAGCAGTTCATACATTATTGGTGTTGGATAGGAATCAAAGAGAGAAATTCAATTCAGGTACCTGAAATCAATGCAGAACCTTATGCTTCCATCCTTCTTTGTTACAAGCACCATTGGGTTACACCACGAGCTCCTTGAAGTCTCGATGATCCCCAGGGAAGGCATCAGGTTAACTTCCCTCCTCAGTGAGGCCAGCAGGCGCTCAGGGATCCTGTAACTTAACCTTCTCACAGAAGCACCTTCTCCAAGTATTGCTCACCCACTTCTTCATCCAGCACACTTAATAGCATCACTTCTGTTTTTCTTTCAGGTCGCAGCACCCACTCTTAAGAGATTTATGTGAAGTACCCTACTGGAGCGTGAGTGCCTTTGTGTCGATACCTGGTTGGCCCAAGTTTCTTAAGGATTTTGAACGGTCCTTGCCATTTAGCCAACAGTTTCTTACCACCAGCACTTTCTGTCCAGGGTGAAGAATCTCTGCCTGGCTGGCTTGTCGTACCAGGACTTGTGTTGCTGCTGGGCGTCCGCCACGTGCGATTGGGCCAGCTCACCCATTTTCTCCAGTCGCTCTCTCATCTGGATGACATAGGATACAACGTTAACAGATCCCACCCTCCCCTTGCCCCCTCCCAGATCTCTCAAGAGTGCCAACAACCCCCAAACTTCATGTCTATACAGAAGTTCAAAAGGAGAGAAACCAGTGGAGGATTGGGTACTTCCCTGCAAAAAAGGAGGTATGGCAGCTGTTGATCCCAGTCTGTGCCAGTGTTGTTTACCAACTTCCGGAGCATCTGTTTCAGGGTCTGGTTGGTTTCTAGCTGCAACGCTGACTCTTGACGATAGAGGATGCCATTTTGCAGGATATTCTCATCAGTTATGATGTCCAACTCAGCTTCCGGCATCTTCGCTTTCTGGAAAAGAGAGACCAAAGACAGATCAGTTTTCTGCATATCACTTATATTACCTGGAACTTGAAACCTTAGTGGTAACTCTGGCTCAGTGCTGGTGTCATCACTGTCTCTTGGAATTTCTTGTGCCTTCTCTGTCTGCGGGTTTTCCGAGAATTCCCAGGTGTGGTCTCCAACAGCATGGCCTGCATTCTGTTTACCACAGCGTTACACTGTCTGCTTTGTTCTGGCTCCAACAAATCAAAAAGAACTGGTAGGTCTCTTTCTAGAACAGCATCAAAGGCAGATTATCAGCAACCCCAATGTTCAAAATGTAAGTTTGACCTTTTACCTTACTGTAGATGTCAGCTGTTGGATAAGGCTTCTCATCTCCATGAACACAACAGATAAAGATGGTGTCACTGCTGCTGACAATGTTGGGTGGTACAAACTTCCTGTGTACCAGAGTCAAGCAAGGCCCTAAGAATGGTTCCATTAAGTTCAATGTTTTGCATTTTAATATAAAAGTCATTTTTAAGCACATTTGTGTCATCTTAGCCGAGATGGGTTTAGTATGGCCTTCAAGTCCACATAAATAACAAATTAGCTTGTCGCGAGAGACTTTTGTTGGCCTGCTAGCTGTCTGGCCCCTCCCACATGGGAGTCTTACCTGCACTGGATGCTTCCCCCTGTTGGAACTGTTGGGCTGGTTTGTGGCTGTCCTTTGTCTGCCTCAATGCATTGTAGCTCCATGGTTGACCCTTTTTCCGTGCAGCCACAAAGACATCAGCCAGCTTGGCAGCCTCCGTTGCTGAATCTGTGTCATGCTCTTTGATCCATACCTGAAGCTCAGGGACAACATTCTCAAATATTGTTGTAGGATGATTATTTCACTTACTTGTTGGATGCTTTAACCTTTTGACTGGATCCATTTCCCAAAGAGCTCCTTGAGCATCACATACAACTCTTTAGGGCTCTCATCAGGGTTGACATCCAGGGAGCGGAATCTTTGCCTGCAAGTCTCAGGATTAATGTAATTTTTAGCAAGACTGGCAGACTTCACCCACTCATAATTAAGAGAGTCATCAATGTCCATACATGCACATAAGTACCTCCAGTTTACAAACCAAATTATGTTATAGAACTAGGCCTATAAAAGAGGTCAACTTAATGTAACTTTTAATCAACCATACCTGTCCATCTTTTCAATCTTTGACCTGGCGCTTTGCATTGTGGGAAACAGTCAGCGAAGACTGGTCTGATGAGCTACTGAATATTTTGCCAGAGAAATTAGTACATAATCAAGTATAGTAGATGTTTCAAAAACAGCCTGAGAATTTGTTGAACCTTCTTTCTGGTACAGGCCCCTGACAGATAGCAAACAGTGAGTCAGAGACGAGAGGAACTTACTGAGATGACCAGAAGCAGCAGGAAGGTTTGATAACTCTGATCAAAACAGGATAACTGTTTTATCAGTAACAATACTCCAATTTGAACCACTGGAGGAGGAGAGACTGGGATCTGCCTGTATCTGAAAAAGCAACAGCAGTTTCACACTTACAAATTGGCACACTAGTGTTCACATTGATTGATTGGACTTCATCAGAAAAAGTCAGAGTCCCTGCAGACCAAAGCTTGGAATTTTCCACATTGCTAGATACATGGAAGGAAATGTCAATCTCAATGTTTGTAAAGGAGTTTGCACAACTGTCTAGGAAGGTTGTAGAAAGGCAACTCAGCAGATGAAGTTTTTCCAAGAGGTGAGTATTTATTTACACTGTAAGCCCGGATGAGTTGAATTTACTTAGAAAATGTGAGGAAACTGGTTGCCCTAAAAAATGTAAGTAGTGTATAATGAAAACTTGAGTGAATTTAACTTAAAAAAATTCCAATGTAAATTGCTTTGCATAATTATTACACTTATGTTAAGCCCATTGCACTAAATTACATGTTGAGTTAACTTAAAATCTTTTGTAATATTAAATTAAGTCCTCTTAATATTTTCAAAATCTGTTTTTAATTTGTTGCAGTAGAACATTTTAATTAACAATAAAAGCAAATAACAAAATTACATTCTTATTCTGTTTTATTTCAGAAGTTTTAACTTCAAACAACAACATAAGTCAAGGAAAATAATGCCTTGCTTTACAAATCGCTGCAAGTTCGTCAACCTGTCTCTTTATGACAGTTACCGGTATTTACAAAAATTATTAACAACCATACCCTGCGTTCACAATACTAACAGCATGGGATTACTGTACTTAATGCTAGGACTGAGTAAATATATAATCTTGCCATCCAGCATAAAGTGCACAGACATGTTGAAATGCAAAAATAAAGATGTCCCAGATATCTGGAACTGTAGCATAACTACTTGGAACCCCGTTTTACAGTACAAGCTGATTTTTCAGAGTCTGAATTTTGGGTGCCAGCTCACTTTCACCCAGGTTGAGCATCACCTGCTGGACAAAAAGAAAGTGTTTTTCATGTACTTGGGATAGTCCAGGTGCAGTCCAAAAAAGGACACAGAAGGCCTGAGGAATGATAGCCAGCTCATCCATCAACACAAACCCTTCCAAGATGATCCCCACTCTGGATGGGTTCAGCTGAGGATTTTCTTCATCAATGCTGATGCTCAATGATTGTATGAGTCCTTGTCGGTTGCATCCTAAAAGAGAGAAACAGATTTCAAATTATCTTCAGATGTTAAGACTGAAAAGCCTCTTAAAATAAACCGTACACTGAAAGTAATTATTGATAGTAGAGGTCTTAATCAGCGTTGATAGGACAGTTTACAACCTCACGGCAGCGGCGGAATCTGGCGCCAGCAGTGGCCAATGGCGGCTTTTTCCTCCCTCAAACTATCAGAATTATATCGGCCTTAAAAAATATGTTTTTTTAAAACGTGTCGGTCGACCTCTAACTGAAAGGATCATAACATTGGTCTTAAATAAACGGCAATATTTGGATCTGTGCTTACAAGTACTTATTGCAAAAGGAGAGTTTACCCACTGATCCAGCCCATTTGTTTAATGTGGAGTACACTTTTGATAAAGATGGTGCACTAGTTAAAGTCTGTGACATATTCTACAGATATAGACATTAAAACTGTAGTGGCATGCTGTTATGTTGATTTGACTGTCCACAGTTTGCTTTCAGGTATATTTTGCAAATAAAATAGGAGAAACTCAGAATCCGTAGAAAAGGGTCCTGCAGCCTGGCATGAGCCGCTGCTCGCGTCAGCTGTATGGCTGCTCTAGTGTTTAAATGGGCGCTGAAAAGAACAGCAAGGCACACTACGACCTGGCCACAAGTGCTTCCTTTTTATTTGTACAGCCAAAGTAAAATATTTAACATTAATTGAGCCCATTTTTTAAAGGTGTTTATAGTCTTCACAGTTTATGTCATGCCATTAACCAATAATGCAGATATTGAGATTGTTTAGTAAAAAATGTTTAGCCAACAGATAGAAGAACAAGTATTTGAAACACTGAAAAAGTTAGTAGCATATGATTTTAATTAAAGGTTCAAAATTAAAATGGAAAAGAAAATGCAGCTGAAACATTTATATCAAATTAGTTTACTTACGAAGCATGTCTTGAAGAAGGCGGAAGGATCGTCTCCCAAGATGACCGGCATTCCCCGAAGACAAAGGCACCTGATGTCTGTTGGCTCCATGGTCTGAAGATAATGGGCATAGAAAACAACACAGTTCTTATCAAAACAAATTCCAAAACTTTCCAACAAGTTATGACAAAAATGTCCAATTTTCAAGACTGGAAAGTACAAGACAAAATGACATGAAAGGAAAGGAGAAAACATGAGAGTATGAGACAAGACAAGAGCTGAGAGAGGAGTAAATGAGAGGAGAGAGAACAGTAGCATTCAGGACAGAGACTGAGAAACTGAGAGAAAGGAATGATAAAGGCAAACAGGAGAAACTTAGATTGTGGGAAGACAGGGAGGAGACTGATGTAGACAACTCAACTCACCTTTGTGTGATGTAAAAGTCATCTTTCGTATGTCTCCCTCACAGACAATAACCCTCACGGTTCATTTCTGTTGCACGGCCATCTGGGGAAAAAGGATGGACAGGTATTTAGCAAATAACAAATCTCCTCAGTGTCACCATAGATTCTCCTCGTACCCTGTACACTGATAACAGGAGGACATCATTTAACTCTGACAGCTTGACCACACACATACAGGTGACATCATCACAGTGAAGTTGGTAAGATCTTAAGTGCTCACAGAACCATGCTGTCATTTTGTGGTGGACAAACAGAATTTCTGCATTAGCTACAACAATCTCTTCAAACTGGGCAAATTCAGGGAGACCTGAGCATGAGTCAGCAGTTAGCCAGCTGCATGAGATTAACATTAAATAGCCATATAGGTTTTCAGTTTATTTAACCTTAACTGCGCCTATTTCAATCAATGGCAGTCTCAAAATACAACGTGTTCGCTAAAGTTAACTTAACAGACTCACCAGATTCATTAGACCGTTGTACAACAGCCGGGCCGTCGCCACCTTCTCTCTTCTGCTGGAGTAGTACCGTGAAGCCCGCCTGCCGGTCCGCTCAGCTGTTCATGTGAAGCGGGGTCCGCCACATGACAGTAACACAAACAGGGCAGTTAGTTAACAGCTAGCTAGCAGGGGAATGATGTCCCGTTTTCACTGCTCACAAACAGACACCCGGGTACAGCTAACAGTTAGCCTAGATAAGAGGTGAAGAGTGTGAATGTGAAAGGTGAACGTTTAAACAGTTTCAATTTCTCCCAAACAGCGAGAAAAGTAACGCCAGCTAGCAGGTGAAAATGTTCATGTTAACTGTGAAAAGAAGGTTTCCTCTGCTGTCAGAGGTTAAACTAATCTCCCTCCTCACCAACAGACCGTCCAATTGACACACTCATAATAATAAAGAGAAACCAGCGTTAGCTGACTTAGCGGTCCGGAGGACGAAGTTGCAGCGAAGATGCCCGTTAGCTGCAATCTGAAATTTAAAATGGCGCTCCTTCACAACGCAAAGGAAGAGGCGTGGTTAGGACTAAAACTTAGTATTTTAAGGACATTTAACTTATTCACACATACGACTATGTCTACAAATTAGTAGAATATAGCATTTTATAGTAATGTAATCAAACTGAAATAATTGATGTACATTGTAACTAAATCATTTAATTAGATATAAAGTCCGGTCTTACAGTGTACAGTGATTAAACCAACACCTGTTAACTTCACAAAAGTTTAATGTAAATAAGGTACCTTACTTCATGATTAAATCAAACTAAGCCCCACGTTAAAGGTAACACGTCCTCACCTCTCCTCATGCAACAGCACACGTCTCCTGGCTTTATAGATGACCCCATTAACAAAATGGCCGCAGCTGGGTGCAGCACAACTCAAGTAGTGGGTTTACACTTTTCTCTTAAAGCAAAGAAATCTACATAAACCCTTAAATTAACCTCAGATCATTTACTCAACTAAATTAACTTTAAATATTTAAATTACATTCTACCAGTAACTCAAACATGAAAGAAATTATGAGAAAGAAAACATTTCTCAGAAATAAAACTCCTTCAAAATGGTCTGCCCCAGTGATGTCAGCGATGACATCATCAATCTGATAAATACCCAGGAAGTGCTGGGTTAGCCCCTTTTAGCTGCATGGAACCACATGGGAAACTGAACAAAGGAACAAACAGAGGTAAGTATGGATAAGACAATCAATGATACTTCGCAGTTCCAGAAACTAAATAAAAATGACTGAACTAAGTCAAGACTGTGTGTTTGCTTTAAGTTGATTTATGCTTTGATGTGAACTGTAACTTATTGCTAACACAAACAAACAAAGATAGTAGTAAGTGCTACAATGTTACACAAGCAAAAATAAATTAAAGCTAAATACACAACTGTCATTAATGATGTGATTTGATGTAAAATAAAGACTTAAGTGACAAGTGGTTATTAAGAGAAGAGCTTCTCACCCACTTTGTCACAATGTTATGTCAAGTTTTCTATGCGCTGATTCAGCTGACTGTAAACTCCCTAAGTGTTTCCACAGGGTAGGGTTGCAGGAAGAGAGAAACCCTGAGGTCTTACTGGGCGCTGCCATATTTTGTGTCTGTGCTCAGTTCACTCACAGAGTGAAGGATTACAGGTGGATCTGCCGGATAAAAATGTTGTTTCTCAGAGAGTATTACAAACAATTTACAGCTATATCTATTTTTTCTGTTTTTAGTAAATCTACAGACACTGAGGACGGCATAACAAAGGAACGTCAGCATCCTCCTGGTGATAGAAGATGAGGTCGTCCTGAAGCATCAGATCAAGCAGCATGACTATTGGTAGCATATGGTAGCTATGCTCATGGGTCTGCTGAATGCGGCATACAGCTTCTTTGTAAAGCTGTGAGGTCGGGAGTTTTCTGAAAGCTTCCAAGAAATATTTGGACATTGTCTCACAGATCTTTTCTGAAATGTTTGTGTTACCACAGTAAGATCACCTCATTAGATGTGTAAATTACCTGATTTTATACATTTATTGCATCTGAAAATACTGAGAAAAGTGACAGATGAATGAGAAATGCAGCAAAAGAAGGACAACTGATTTTTTTGCACACTCTCTCCCAGTCCTTGTGATCAAAATCTGTAGATCACCTTCATCCTGCTGTGAACTTCTCATGCTGCAGAAAATGAAGTGTTCTACATTTCAACTGATTGAGTTTGAAGATGCACTCCAAGGTCTGTCCTTTTGTATTTTTGGTGTCCTCCTGTCAGCCCAAGAAAAGGGAGTGTTTTACTCACTGCATTTGTTAACTGTGCTTCAGGTTGTTGGAATGGACCTTTTTAAGGATGGACTGCAGATTGTATTTAGAAATGTTTCCGCTGGAGTGGAGAACAGCGAATGTTAAACAAAAAGTCAAACTTGCCTTATATACATGTTATAGTTTTATTTGTGTTAATAAGAATCTAATAAGGTCTTATACGTGACTTATTACCTGTTA